GATCGATGCTGTTCTGGTAGTGCAGGGAGTCTCTGGCTCGGAGTCTGGAGGTGTGATTGACACTGTCATGGTAGTGCATGATGTCTCTCGCGCGGAGTCAGAGGCTTCATCATGCAGTGGGTACCGCTCACGTTCCCGGCTAGGAAGCTCGAGGAAGCAGTGCCTGACATCGGGCCAAAGCTTGCCAATTTCTCTGGCCCACAAAGACATATGATTGTCCACGTCGTGCACTGTCTCCTCGGAGAGCTCCCGAGGATCATCCACAGGAAGCAAGTAATGACCACTATCGGTGAGAAGTAGTCGGAGATAACACCATTCACTTGCTTCAACATTCTTCTTTCGATGTCCGTTTTCTGGAATCTTGCCAGTACGAACAACCAGGCATCCATCGCCATTGCTGAACCAATCAGTCAGTATCGAAGCCTGTTGTCGACGAAGAGCTGGGTTCGAAAGCAGAGCTGGACAAAGCGAGCCTTCGCCGCCAAGAACGTCTGCTGAAAACGATCCATGGGCTCCAGAAAAACTCAGAGGAAGATTCACCATGCCCAGGGTAGCCTCCGGGGTGCCACTTATGCCTGACACATTGTTCGACTTCTCATAGTTCCAGGAAATATCTCCTTGGCGTTCAGGAGGAAGACATGAGATGAGATCTCGAAGTGTCTCTGATCCGATGAGGCCTGATGCTGCTCCAGGATCCACCAGCAGACCTCTCCTTTTCTCGCCCAGCACAGTGTGGTAGCTAAGCGACTCATGGTACACAGCCGAGGCAAAGGTGAAGTCAAGGCGCTTGGCAGTAGCAGTTGTCGTAGAGGAGGTCGCAGGATCATCTCCATCCTCAGTAGGAGTTTCCTGAGTACGATGGCGTCCAAGGTGGATGACAGGCTCGTCATCGTTGTCCAAACGGAAGTGCACGGTCTTGACCTTGGGCTTTGGCGGTGTGAACTGCAACTTGCTTTCTCCAAAGCTCTGTGTCAACGTTTTCTCCGCAAAGCCATAGTAGCCTTTGCCCTTCGAGGACCATCCACGAGGAGCCCATCGCTTGCCCTTGGATTTGCCCTTGCCATATCCTTTCTTGCCCTTGTAGCCGCTGCTGCCGTAGCCCTTGCTACCAAAGCCTTTGCCGCCACCGTAGCCCTTGGCCGATGATTTACCTTTGCCGCCATACTTGCCGCCACCGTTCACTGGGCAAGAAGAGGCAGAATGCCAGCGAGAGCCGCATATCGAGCAGCCGAAGCCTTTTCCTTTTCCTCCTTTCATAGGAAAACTTTCCTGAGCCGACGAGGTGGCCGTGGAAGAAGAAGGTCCGCCACCATCGTTGCCAGAGAGGTTGCCGAAGGAAGCTTCTTCTACTTCCTTTTCAGGACTGTGCCATTGCTCATCCTCGGCGTCCTCGCCATACCACTGCCCCTGCTCATAATCGTCCTCGTAGTCGCCACACCAGTCGTCATAGTGCTCCTGGTAGTCTGACATCCAGGACCTATCGTCCTCGGTCCAGTAGGCATCGTCCCAGGAAGCTTCTTGCTGGTAGCCATCATCCCAGGCGTCCTCTTCCTGGTAGAAGTGGTCACTGTCATTGCTGCGGTTCACCAGCCTTAAAGCCAAGGCCTTCGCCTCCTGGAACCGCCGCAAGTCTCCTTGCAATTGGAGCTTGATGTCCTCAACAAACTTCTGAGGAAGCCCCGCGCCGCGGAAGAAGAGGTAGAACTTGCCAACATCATTGATTTCCAGGCCGGCGCGCGTCACAGCTTCCTCCATTCGAATCTCCCATTCGATGGCATACTCAGGAAAGGTCAGCTTGCCGCGCCGAAATTCCATCAGATCTTCGATGGATCTCGACACCAAGTCTTGGTCTGACATTCCGAAGGCTTCCCGTAGCGAGTTGCATAATGCCTGTACCCCAGACGGTATCGCATGTTGGAGAATGACAGCCGGGTTGGCCGGATCTCGTACCTCCTCGACCGAGAGGCGGACCAAGGCATCAGAACCGACGTCTGTGCCTCCGTCGGGGCGGCGCAGCCTAAGCTGCATGCCCAGCCTCTGCGCCTTTCCTTGAAGACGCCCGGCCACCAAGGGACCGACCATGGTGTCGTCCCCCTCATAGATACGATACCAGAGCTTCAAACGCTCGAAAAACAAGCGCAACGGGTAATCAGGGATTCCCGGAGCCCATCCGGGCGGAACTTCTCGCCGAAATTCATGCAGCGGAATGCCTCCTCCAGGTCCTGAGCCTTCAACCATCGTCACGAAGGAGAAGTCAGTCAAGTGGAGGTAGCACTGGCGCTCGCGGAACAGCAGCACCTGAAGGTAGGGACCGACAAGCGACTCACCAAGGATGTGCTCGCCAGGCCCGTGGTACTTCTGATCCGCTGCCTTGGTCGTGTCCTGAAGCGTGTCTGCTTGGTACACAGAAAAGAAGTGAAACTTTATCAGGCCACCCAGGCCGACGTCAGAGAAGAAGTTTCTCAGAAAGATCTTGCCCTGAGCCGAATTTTCCCTCTGGTTGTTGGACACTGCGATGTCCGTGGGGAAAAGCCACAACCAGGCCGAAACGCAGAAGCGTAAGAAGATCGTGGTGCCGAAGGTCGTGACGAAGAAGTCGAGAGCTGCCGAAGCTGCAGCTCAAGGATTTGAAGCCTTCGGCAGCCTATGGCGTTCGGATCTACAGGGAGCTAGGCTCCGCTACCAAACTAAGAAGGTCGACTTATTTTGGGCCCAAGCGCGCTTCAGGATGTATGCTCAATGCTCCAGTGCAAACATGTGCTGGGAACTTCACTTGTTCAACTGGTTTAATAGTGGAACAGTGTTTTCAATGGATCTTAATGCTGATGGTAGCGCCAGTACTAACGCTACTACGAAAAAGAATGCCAGCTTCAAGGCTACTGCTGAGATTCGTTTGTTATCGATTTTAATTGTGCCGCAAATTTGGGGTGTTGCCGGTATTAACGTCAATTGTTGAGGTGGGCCCTTTACAAGAACGGGTCCAACATTCATATTCATTAATCCGAATGTTCGAAACCATCGGAGGGAATGGGTGTCTCATTTGCTTGGATTGTTGTGGAGGGTGCTCCAGATATCATATTGAGGTGCATGAAAGCCCAGGCACGGGTTTCGCCAGTATTGCCGCAAGGTGATCCGTGTCCTTCAGGCAGGATGGATCTATCTGGTGAGGACGGGTTGACGACTTAGATTCTAAGATTTTGCTTACGCTTCCACAAATATAACATCAGCCGCCTCTGCAGATCCAGCAGGCGGATTCGTCACTGTCACCTCAACGATGGACTGACATGGGCAACGGTTCCACCAGGTCGCTGGAACACCCTATGTGTCTGCAAGCACGATAGCAAATCAAAGTTGTGATGTCGAGAGGCCGTGGTCTCTGAAGCAACTTCTGCTGTAGGAAGTGTCCGCAGTGAGCTCTGATTGCCTTCCTCGGCACCAGAAAGAATATTGTGCTCATTGGCTCTGTCAAGCGCAATGCAAAACATGGAAAACTCCATCAGGCTCGAGAAACATTCATCAACATTACTGCCGCAAAGGGTCCGTGGCAAACGGGACGCTCACATTACAAGGGAGCACAGGTGGCGCGCCCGGCAGCTCACAGTCCTGCAGTCCAGGCAACTGGTGCCCAAACGCAAAACTTGGCACTGTCACTGAGCCTCCACCTCACTCAAATTTCCAGAGCACGGGGCACCACCTGAGTTCACCCAAGCGTGGGTTGCCACTTGCTAGAAGCACATCGAAGTTGGCAGCCAAAGGAGCCAAACTCTGCGGAGCCTTTCTCGCGGCTTCGAAGGCGCTTGGCCTATGGAGTTTACTGCAAATTCTGACAGCTCTCAAGCTATTGATTTCCGAAGTAGTCGGCCATCCAAGTCCAGGGCCAGACCGCAGGGCTGCAGTTGACATCCACCCCAGTCGCCCCAGTCCTCAAACTGACAGTCCTCGGCCCACCCCCCCGTTTTCAGCTGCAGGAAGCTTTTCCAATTCTTTTACTGCCAGACTAAGCGGCAACGGGGCACGGAAGGTCTGTGTCGCAGATCTCCTGGCAATGACAGGACAAGTCTGCCAGTCTCGTAGCAAGTCTTCAGACACCATAGCGCAGCAACGCGATCCTCTTCGGCCGGTGGCCCTGTGCAGTTCAGGCCTAATGGACCGTACGCCTGCCAGAGGATTGGCGGAGGCCCGAAAACGATGAAGTTGCTCTTGCAGCTTGCAGCTAAGCCGAAACTTTTTTCCTTCAGTCCAGTCTTTAGCCCAAAACACTCTTTTGCGGATGGTCGCCTCACTCTGTAAAGCTCTGATTGAGTTCATGCAGTTGCGGAGGCAAGCACACACGGGCCAAGTTTAATGCCAAGCCACAGAAGGTCCAAGCGCCCGTCCTGAATCAGCCAACAGCTTAGACATACTGGTAAGTTAAGCGCAGAGGACGAAAGGCGCCTAAGACCGGGAGCAGCTCCCGCAGCTGCTCAACGATCGTGTCGGAAGGCTGCTGGACGAGAAAGCCTGGAGCTGCGCCGGACAGCGAGCAGGAGAGACGCAAGTTCGCTTCAAAAATCGCCTGAATTCTGAAGCGAGTCGGCAGCGGAGTCCATGATCCTTGGAGGTCTGTGGTCCACTATGCTCAATGCTCGCATTGGACACCAAGCCCCTTGATGCTGCATGGGCTCCCAAACTCCACCACAAGGATGTTGCACATCTGCAGAGCATGAAGGCACTGGTAGAGCCCTTGCAGCTGTGCCCCGTCTAGGCAGGGGTACCACACGGCCACCTCGCCAGGTGAGGTTGGAGAGGATACGGGATCCACAGAGCTGTGACCCGCTCTATTTGCCTACGGCAGCAGTTCTGTCTGTTGCTGAGGGCTTGACGGTTGCTGTCGGCCATTGAGCATCGAGGAACTGGAGTAAACGCAAGTTCCAGTGCAGGTAGCACTGATAGGGCTCGTAAGGAGGATCCACAAACACCAACCCTCGCTGGTCAAAGATGTCTGAACCTGCAGCTCGAAGAAACCTGGGATAGCGGCCAGCATGCGCAAACGCCACACAGGACTGCTAGGGCGAGGACCACCCGTATGAGTTGTCCAGCATGACATCAACATTCGATACGCCCGCGGGATCAAGCATCTTCTGGTGCCGTACCAGCATTGCATACACGTCAGGATCAAGCTCAAAGACAACGCCACGATCCTGACAGGGACAGGGACAAAGCTGAAACATCTGAAATTCACTTCTCTTGCCCTGTTGTTAACAGGAGTGGGGAAGATGTCAGATCGAATTGCTGACATCAAGGGCGGCCTGGGGCCGTAACCATTTCTGCGCCAGCAGTGGTGATCCCAAATAAAGCCTGAAGGGCCAAGACGCGACAACAGCAACGCGGCCCAATTCACTTGGCCTTAAAGCCAAGCTGCAGATCCACCGTTCTGGAGGCGCCGAGTCGGTGCACATTGTGGAGATACGCCTGCCAAAAAAAGTTCTTAGAAGACACGGCCTACCTGCAGCAACTGGCAATGCAACTAGAATCACTAGACCATACAAAGGGCTTCTCGGACTGCCACGGAGATCTTCCATGCCTGGAAGCTTGGGTGGAGTTCGGCTGACCGCGGCCTCGGCTTCCACTGCACAGGCACTCATCAACTGAGAAGGCACAGAGCAAGAGGAAGCAGAAGAGAATCCAGACTTGACCCGCAATTCGAAAGGCTGAAGTGCGCTCTACAGCTGCCCTGGAAGGGATACAAGCTGCTCGCATCGGTTTCGCAAATCCAGCATGCCCGGTAATGTGGGGCCAGGAGATTGAAGCGGACAAGAGCGCTGGGGCAAGATTTCCGATTTGTGGTACAGCAGAGGTCTTGGGCTATCCCTGTCCAGCAGATCACAGTCTTGCTGTTCCTTACCACCGTTTCACCGGCCCCTTGCAAAAGAATGTGTTACTTCGGCATCGCGCCCCAAACTGCCCAAGCCGAAATGAGCACAGCCAGGGGAACTTACGGCCAAAGTGCATCAACGACGGCGCAGGAACCACCACTTCAAAATAGGCGCAGCAATAATGTGCAATGATAGCGTGCGAACATCAACAAGGCAAGAGCAGCTTCAGCAACAGCAGCCGCAGCCGCGAACATTCTGCATACTACCGACAGGAGATAGACAGAAGCTGCAGCTACTCGAAAAATCTATTTTACGAACATGGGCAGGCGACAATAGTTAGGGTAGTCACCCATAACGACTGTCATGAAATCTGATGACCCCTGAGACAACGACAAATACAGTGCAGGAGCAAAGTCAGGTTGCCCATGATTCTTGTTTGCATTCACGTCATGCGGAAGGTTGTAGAGACCCCATCCAGCATTGGTGTCCTAAGTTTGCACTCTTCATGTCCCCATTTGCATGGAGCCACAGGTCCCATGCGCAAAAAGTGCTGCTGAGCGACAACATAAGTGAATGGAGTGGCAACCGCAGAGAAGCTGCGGAGCAGTACTGTAAGAACAGAGTGCTTGAAGCAGTCGACGGAACTGCCAGCCTGCCAAGCGGCTACTTTTACAAGTGTACCACTTTCTCTCTACATGGGAATCTGCGCAACGGCCAGCCTGCACGCTATGATCATAGGCCGCTCCGCGGAAGCCATTGAAACCTTTCCAACAGCAGGCATTCTTGTGCGATTTTGGCGCGAGACCGATGAGGCATGCAAAAGCTCAGACAGCTGAAATGTGCACACCCCTTCTGCCTGCATTGATCGTCATATCGATGACATCCATACACTTCCACCACTGACCAGCAGCCTCCGGCTTCTCAGGAAGCATGTTGGCCCCTCTTGCCCACAAGCCTCACGGTCCCTCATCTACATGCATTGCCAAGTTGCTGCACAAGCCGCGAGGGCAGCATTGAAATTGATTTCGTTGGCTTGCAGCTTCATTGCGGTCATTTCGCTCAAGAGGGCAAGCGCCATCTCCCACTGCATGCCCTTCTCACAGGCACTGATGGCCTGAGAGCCACAAATCGCTTCTTCTGATCATCTCTGAGACATTGCTCAGCGCTTCGTTCGCTATCGGAGGCACCGAGCCATAGCTGACGACAGTCGGCTTCACCAAGGTCTCCCACCTCGGAGCATCTTTGAGGCCTGTGATACATTGACAATCTGAACTTCTGCCACGGAGCATCTGACGCAGCAAGTTCAGGGAGAACAGCCATTGCCCGCTCTTCTCACAGGCGGTACTGGCTGCGTTGAAACCTTGCACTTTTCCATGCGTCCATCTACCAGCACAAATCCCCCTCTAGTCCTTTCTTGTTGTCTACCTTCGTGTTTCCTGCTAAACCTGTTGCGAGTGTGGGTTTGCTATGCTCTCTCGTTGCTGAGCTGCAGGTTGGAAGGCACATCAAACCTGACACAGTCCTTGCGTGCCGCGATGCTGGACCACAAACGCTGACAAGTCACTGATCACCGTACGCTGGAGTTGCAAGCTGCAAGCGGAGTTCAATAGGCAAAGCGCTTCCTCCCACAGTGCACCTGAGGTTTACATGCGGTTTCAGGCACCCTCGCCCGGCCAAGCGTGAATCCTTGACAATGCAAGTGCTTGGTGCTGTGCTAGCTGCCTCGGGCACAAGCGCTTATGGCTGCGTTGATGCTGATAATGTCTGTCCTCAAGGCAAGCCAATGACACTCTGGTGAAAAGCCTATGCGCGGAACTGGTCAACTCAGGACTCCTCTGGCCTTCTGTGCACGAAGCACCGGGAACGACAATCAGAACTCAGGAAAAGTCAACACGTTCCCTTGTCACTCGCTCCGATCAGGTCAGTTGCGTATGCACACTGCGGCGGGCGGAAAGTTCGTAGTGCGGCCAGGTTGGTGCTTGAAAACGGGCCAACTCCCGCATAGACTCCTCCACAAGCAACAGGCCTCAAGTCCTCCGTCTGAAACAATTCAAGTATCATAAGTTTATTCTGGCGTGATAGTTCCTCCACTAGCCAGTCCAATGAAAATGAGCCTCTGAGTACTCCGCGCCTCCATGTAGCAACATGTAGATGCGACAAAACTATCCGCCCAGTGATGTATGGCTCTTCTCAGCACAACAGCCTTTTGACCCAAATGACTTGGAGGCTTCTTC